TGTCATGCAAGATTACAGTGCCCTTGGATAGCAACCCTCTGCGTTAAATCCGATATTTAGGCTTCAATTCAGTGAGCATCCCACTGCAATGAGCACTGTTAATTGTTGAACTTTTTCCTGAGTGTTCCAGTACTTGCCCTTGAGAATCCCAGAAAACTGTAATTGTCCAGCTGATGGTTGACTTTTGAACTTTTTCTTGGTTAGTGACTGAGGAATTTCCATTCCATATTCTGCCATTTGCTCTCAGGCTCAGCTCGTAGTGATGAATCCATGTCTCGGCACCAGTAGCCAGTTTTTTCAAAGAAACTTTTACCTTCCTTCAAGTATCAGTCCAAAGTCTGTTTGCAGATGTTCAAATGCTTCTGGTTATGCACTTCCGTGAGTTGTTTCAGTATCTATCTCACACAAACTTTTTGAAACCCAAGTCTGTCCTGGATTATTTCATAGGCAGAGCCATGGCTGATTAGCAAATGATTTACCACATAAACCACTGTCACTAGTCTATTCAACAGAATCATTTCACATACACGCTCAGTGTTGTCATCAGCCATAGATGTGTATAGGCAATTTTAATATAACCAGAGTGCAGATCATTTTTGACTCTCTCTTATCTATCTGCTGCATGAGCAGTCAGACCACTCATGTTCCACAAGATGTGTTCTTATCTGTAAAATAAGGGTAATGCCAGGATTCATCAGAGCGGGCTGTGTGGAGAAGTCATGCATAGTGTTCCCAAGAGAGGCTAGTATATGGGGAGATACATAGATGTTGGATGTTACTATTGGGAAGCATCACCACCCCCCAGCCATTGAGTGGAGACTGGTCAGATGAATTTTGGTTCCACCATGGGAGCACTCATGCTTTTTTTTAATGGAAGGGGATACCTATCCAAAATAGAGAAACCAAGGCATTTTTCAAGAAATGTCTTGATAAACAAGACCAGCAGTATTATCTTGGAAAAGCTGAGTTGCATGGATTCTAGTGAACACTAACTTTTATATTGAAATATAAAGAGAAAGATGTCATGTTTGGTAGACAGCAAAAGAGATGAACCATCAGAAGGCACCTAACTACAACAGTATTGAAATATAGCTCTTCCCCCAAAAACAGTGTATCTGAGAATTTCTTACTGTTGATTTTGACTTCATAATTTATAAAGACAATACTAAAACAAATTTTAAAAAGCAAAAGGAAACCTTTTGAAAACTTCCTGGACTTAATCAATGCAAATCTGATAGCCACACTCTTCCCTGGTAGCACCATGGGTTAGGCAAGACTGGCAGTTCAAACCTACCCACTACTTCACAGAAGAAAAATGAGGCTGTCTATTCCCTGTATCCCTATGGGATAAAGCACTGGCCCATCATCACAACAACAGAGCAGGAGTTTGGTAGGTTGTTTCATGGGAAACTGTTGGCATGGCAGGCAGGCTGGAGGAAGACAAAGGTATCTGAGTCTGGCTGAGGCGAGAAGTAGGAAAGCAGGTATTCCTGCCAGGAGAAGCATGAAATTCTGTGGCATTCAGGCAAGGGGGTGCGTAGACACTGCCAGCTTCAGGGGTGGCTAGTGGAGGCCGTGATGGAGCTGGGTGGTGAGGGGCAGACAGGCATCGGAATTCAGTGAGTGGGATGCTCAGCTTGTGTGTAGGGAACTGTATACAGGAACGCAGGCAACACTTGAAAGATTGGCATAGACTGAAGGCAGTAGTTAAAGGAATCCTGAGATGGTTAAGTTGAACTGAGAGTTCAGGAAGGATAGAAAGGCCAAGGGGTGTTTGTTAGAGTCCGTGGCTGTGATTCGTGTGGTCCAGTTTTCAGCCAAGCAGTAAATAGGTATATGGGGAGACAACACTATTGTATGGTATGCTTACCATGGAATGGTCAGTCATTCAGGATCCAAAGGGCAACATTTACTTACCTAAGGACACAGTTTAGAAGGGATGGCAAGGTGTGTAGAACGGAAATAGGACCCACAGGGAGGAAGCAGGATAAATTGTTGCATAGAGAGGATTGCAATCCTTGAGATGAAACAAAGTATATGATTTGCTGAATGTAAAACTGATGATCTTCTCTGTAAACATCCATTCAATTCACTATAAAAAAATTGGGGGGAAAAAAGGAGTTGGAGATTTAAGCTTACCCAGAAGTACCTCAGAAGAAAGGGGTGGCAATTGACTTCCCAAAAATCAGCTGTTGAAAACCTTATGAAACATAGTTTTTCTCTGACACACATGGAGGCACCATGAGTCAGAATCAACTTAACAGCGGCGATTGGTTTGGTTTTAGGGTTTTTTCTGGCCAGCCTCAGAGCCATCAGTTCTAGGGGAAAATGCACACGTGAAAAAAGCCCACACAGAAAAAAGTCCACTGTGAGAAATGCACACCTGAACAGTTGCTAACCTTAATCTTAATTAGCACTTTATTTTTTTCCTGTGTGGGCTGTTCATATGGGCCTTTTTCGTGTGACTATTTTTCTGGTTACCACTTCAGCCACACCCAGCCCTCCCACATCCCCATCCAAAGGATGACCAAGAGGCATCTGATCCTGAGAAAAGAATGGAAGTTGGGTGTGTGGCTACAGGACAGACCTGGGGCAGGAAGGGAAGAGGGTGGGCAGGGACGAAGGGCCTCATTTATACTCTTGCCACAACAGTAGAGGCAGGGCTGGTGCACGTCCCTGTGTCTTTGACAGTGTCGGTTCTGATGCTGGATACAGTGAAAATCAAAACCAAGCCAGTTGCCATTCAGTTGATTTCGACTCAAGGTGACCCTGTGTGTGTCCTAGTAAAACTGCGCTCTGTAGACTTTTCCATGGCTGTGTTTTCAGAAGCACATTACCAGGACCCTGTTCTTCCGAGCACCTCTGGGTGGACTTGTACTTTCAACCTTTTAATTAGCAGCTAGATGTTTAAGGGAGCTCTGGTAGCGTAGTGGTTACGAATCAGGCTGTGAACCGCAAGGTCAGCAGTTTGAAACTACCAGCGGTTCCGCAGGAGAAAGAGGAGGCGTTCTGCTCCTGTAAAGATTTACAGCCTCGGGAACCCTGTGCAGGGTCACTATGAGTCAGAACCGACTCCACGGCACATAACAACAACATGTTTAACTATTTGCATCATCCAGAAACTCTAGCTGGATACAATAGGGCTCAAGAAAATGGATGGGGGGCATGAAGTGATTAGCTTAATTGAAACATAGGCTTCCTCTTGGAGCTGAGTTCATTTTCTGGGAAGAAATTTCCTGTCCCCTCATGTTGCTTACACCCTGCCCCTGCCAGGGATTAGCATGGCCCCTGAAGTGGCTGGACAGTCCCCCTGCCCTCTCGTCTGGCTCCAGCCTGTCATTCCCCAGCAGCCACTTCTGCTGTCTCTGCCCTGGTCACATCCCTCCTACCCATCTTCTTTCCCTCCAGAGCTCACAAGCCAGGGGTCCAGTGACCCTGGCCAAGCTGCCCTGATGTCATCTAGGAGAACGGGCGTCACCCACCCCAGTGCTCACAAGACCCTGTGTAGAAACTGAGTTTGCCCAGAGCAGGGCCAGTTTCCTTCCAACAGTGCCTCCCTCCACCATCCCCCTCTGCTCTGGCTTCTTGCAGCTCTTGTCTCTCTCCCTCATACCTGTGCACTCCTCCAAGAACAGCCAGGTTAGCCTGGGTCTTAGGAGTCCCCCTGCCTGTATAAAACCAGGTGGGGTGCGGAGGGGATGCTGGCCCTCAGGCTCCTGCTGTCACAGTGCAGTGAGCAGCCAGGAAGGCAGCTAGCGCCATCAGCAGGCCCTGAAGCATGAAGAGCAGCCCTGGAGCCTAGAGGAGGCCTGCAGTGCTGAAGGGAACTCAGAACCCCACCCTCCCACCGTGCCAGGAAAGCCAGAATTGGGCTCCAGGGCAGGGAGGCCAGGTGGAACCCGGGACCTCTGCCTTTGCTGCTGGCCAGCCTGCACCCTCCATTCCAGCCACCCTTGTCCTCTCCACTCCCCTGCTGTCTGCAGGCTTCTGACCTTTGCACATGCTGCCCTTTCTGTCCGGAATGGTCTTTCCTCCTTCACCTTGAAAACGCCAGCTCATCTTTAGGGATGTCATTTAGGTGTCACCTCCTCCAGGAAGCCTTCCCTGACTGCCCTTCCCTACCAGAGCCTCCCATAGCTCCTGGTGCTTACCCCACAGTAGCATTTATAACCCAATATATAGTAGTAGGGAGTCTTGGTATGGTGCTGTGGGTTAATGCAGCAGACTGCAAAGCCGTTTGAACTACAAGGTCGGCAGTTCAAGCTCACGAGCTGCTCCTTGGAAACACTATACAGGGTCACTATGGGTCGGAACCGATTCAACGGCACTACACAACAACAATAGTAGTTTGCTTACCTACAGCCTGCACAGTCTAGTCTATAAACACCCTGAAGACAGTAACTGTATTACCCAGGGTACCTGGCATAGAGTTACTGCTGTTCGCTGTTGTGTTGAGTTGTCCCCTGACTCTGGCAACCCCATGCACAATGGAACAAGTGCCGTCCAGGCCTCTGACAGCCACTTAATGTCACAAGCCGTAAAGTTTCCATTGGCTGACTTTTACAAGGAGACCACCAGACCTTTCTTCCTAGTCTTAGTCTGAAAGCTCCACTGAGGCCTGTTTAGCACCATAGCCTCCACTGACAGATGGACGGTGGCTGTGCATAAGGAATGTTGGTTGGGAATCGAACCAGGTCTCTGCATGGAAAGGGAGAATCCTACCCCTGGATTACCAATGTCTGCTGGCCTGCAGTAGGTAGTAAATATTGAAAGGTGGCTGGATTCATGGATCAAAATTGACCTTGAATGAAGGGAATGCAGAGGCAGCATCCAGCTAAGGCTGGTCCACGGAGGGAGAAGGAATGGGTGATGAGGTCCTGGTGAATAATCACCACCTCACTGCATGAGGGACACATTTGCCCGAGGAGTTCCCTGAGACGCCCCCTCTGCCTACTCTGGCCTAGTACCTGATGCTGACCATCTCTCTCCCTTGCCCCTAGTATTTCTGCCTGTTGCTTGTCATCTTCCTTGTTGAGCTGGTGGCGGGGGTCCTGGCCCATGTGTACTACCAGAAGGTGAGTAGTTTCTTCCTTTTACATTCTCCACCAGTGCCCCAGGAAGAGCAATTATCATGAGGGAAGTGAGGCAGAGACACACAACACACAGTGGTCCTCTTTCCCAACACCCCGCCAAAAAAATCCAAACCCACTGCTATCAATTTGATTCCGACTCTTAACAACCCCACAGGACAGAGCACTAACTGCTCCATCGGGTCTCCAAAGCTATAATCTCCCTCACACAGAGCAGTAGACCTCTTGGTTGGCAACAAAGCATTTTAATCACTGCAGCATCAAGGCTCCTTCCTCTTTCCCAGGCCCCCCAACCATCCTCTGCACATCTGGATTCCAGCTCTTGCCAGGGTTCTAGCAACTCCCTGCTACAGCTGTTGAAGAGGATGTCTTTGGCAGGGTAGCAGGGGAGTGGGAGTTCCCCAGGGGAGGGGTGGGGCTATAGGCTGTCTTTCCAAGGATGGTGGAGGATGAATCTGTGTGTTAATGACACCCAAGGAGAAAGGCATGGGCCAGGGCAAAAGACTGAAAAGACAGGAGCAGTCCTGGCCTGTCTGGATTGGACAAGGAGGACAGGACATGACCAGCATGTCCCCTCCAGCCCTGGTGTCCTCTGATTCAGAGATTCACAGTCAGGACCAGGGCGATATTCGGTTGACTGAGATCGAACGAGCACACCCATTTTTTCCAGCCAGTGCCCATGCAGACTGAACTTGAGTAATGATTGTAAATATCTGCAATAGCACCTCATCATCATAGATACTGAACAGCACCCTGGCCTCCCCAGCCACTCTCTCAGCTCAGCCCATCACACCTCTGCCCTTACCTGAGTGCCCAGGGCCCGTTTTTCCAACATCTTCTCATGAACATTTTCTAGAATGTCTCCCACTCTGTCTCCATTACATTGTATAGAAACCTCAGTCATTGTGTGCCCTAGAGTTTGCTGGAATGATTCTGGAGTAGGCCTAGGTACCAGGGTTCCGGTAGTAGTGAGGACTTCCTGCTGACCCCACTTCCCCTCTACACCCCTCTCAGCTGAGTGACGAGCTGAAGCAGCATTTGAACAGGACTCTGACCGAGAACTACGGGCAGCCCAGAACACCAGAGATCACTACCTCAGTGGACCGTCTGCAACAGGATGTAAGCCCTGCCCCAAGGGTTTGCAAGCCATGCAAACCTGGGTTCAAATCCTGAACTCTGTTCCCAACCCCATTCCTTGCCCCCTTGCCCCCTTGCCCCTGTCTGTGTGGCCCTGGACACGTTACTTAGGCTCTCTAAGCTTCAGTTGCCACGGCTCTATCTAAAATGAAGTGCACATAATCTTAAATATGACCACGTATGTACAGGTCCCCACCAGTGTGTCCTGCCCCTAACAAGTACTTAGTGAATGATGGTTCCTGTCCTTTCTCCTCCTCAGCCCTCACTGCCACCATGCTCCCCTTTGACTACCTCCTCCACACCCCACCCCTGCTGCCTTCCCATTCTGGGTCCCCTGTGGGAAGGAAGCTGGCTGTGCCAGGAGAACTCCTTCTCCTGGCAAGGATCCGGGCCAGGAAGTTTCTCTCCGGGCTCCTTCCATCTGCGGGCCCTGCCTTCCTCCTTCATTCCTGGGAGAGCTGGGGGCCGTGACTGGCAGGGCTGCTTCCGTGCAAAAAGCTGAAAGAAGTTTCCAGAACGCTGGGGACAGAAAGGCAGGCTCTCCTTTCTCAGAAGAGACTCTGCAGAACCTTTCAGGGAAGGTCTACCACTGCTCTGGTGTGTGGCAGGGGGATGGACAGATGGACCTCTAGACTTGTGCTGCCTAGAATGGTAGGCCCTATATAACTATTGATAAATTAAATTAAAAATTCATTCATTTTCTCAGGCACATTTTAGGTGCTCAGTAGACTCATGTGACTGTTATAGTGTGCTATAGAATGGAGTAAAACTACCCCATAGGAGTGGCACTGTAGGATCAACACTACACTGTGAACCACAAGGTTGGCAGTTCAAACCCACCAGCTGCTTCTCGGAAACCCTATAGGGGGTCGCTATGAATTGTAGCTGACAACACTCAACAAGAACAAATCTTTACGGGAGCAGCTCTCCAATCTTTCTCTTGTGCAGCAAACAGACTCTAGGACCCAGGATGACATTGCACCAGAAGAACACACCTCCACGTGGCTGCTATTACTGCTGCTAAGTGCTTCCAGTCGGTGCTGACTCATAGCCAACTTGTATAGGGTTTCCGAGCGGCTAGTGAATTTGAACTGCCAGCCTTGTAATTCAAATGAACCTGTGGTCAAGTGCTTATCCTACAGCACTACACCAGCACTGCATGTGACTTCTTGTTGTTGTTAAATCCGTCGAATCGGTTCCGACCCATAGCGACCCTGTGCAGGGTTTCCGAGGCTGTAAATCTTTACGGGAGCAGAAAGCCTCATCTTTCTCCCGCGGAGCAGCTGATAGTTTCAAACTGCTGACCTTAAGGTTCGCAGCCCGATTTGTAACCACTACGCTACTAGTGTCTAATAAATAGTGCAGATATAGAACATTTCCATCATCACAGGAAGTTCCACTCAGCAGCCCTATAATTCTAATGATTCTGTTCCTAAAGAGTTAAGGCAACTTCACCTGCCCACTCTGGTCCCTGTTCAGTCTGCCTCCCCTCATCGTCTCTGCTCCATCAATCTCCTCAGACCCCACCTTGGACTTGAGGTCTTGGTCTCAGACCTGGAAATGTCCATCAAGTAGAGGTTGGTGGGCTCCAAGCTCTAGGGCTATCATAGTCCACTAGATGAAGCACTTTCCCGAACTTCCCGAGACTCAAGCTCAGCGCTTGGCGCTCAGCCTGCTCTGCATGGCAGGGATCCCTCAGTCTCTATAGCTGTGGCCAGGGCCTTATGTGTACACTGAGGTGTTCAGACACATACACACACGTGTGTTTGGCTCAGGACCTTGAAAACAACATACGTGCTACTGGCCTCCCCTGTGTACAAGGAAGTATGCACTGGTCGGGTCTCATTCTCTGAGGAGCTCTGGAGAGGAGGAAGAACAGCTCTGGATGAGCTCCTTCCAAGCAGGCGCTGTGTCTTATTCATGTTCAGCCCTACTGTTTGGCTTCATTCCTGGCACACGGTAGGTGCCCAACAAACACTGTGAACAGAACTAGATGTAATACACATCCTCACATCATGTATCTCAGCCTCCCAACTCAGTATGGCAAGAAATACCAATTTCTTACTGTTGTTTTTTTAATCTACTTGGACCTGAGAATTCCATCTCAGTAAGAATGGGGGTCATCCCTGGAGTGGTGCGAATTTTATTGAGCACCCCCACAGGCCCCTCTGGTAAGCAGTGAGCTGCCTTCTGGTGGCCCAGAGCCCTCTGTGCTCTGCAGGACTGGGGCTTTGAGGCTTCCAGGCCTGAGTGGAGGTCTTGAGCTTTTGATAAGGTGTCCCTGGGGTGCAATCTCCCTGGAGACCTGGAAGGCAGCCATCCCCTTGCACTTTGCTCCCGCTCTGAGCTCTGCCCCCTAGTGGCGGAGGAGCCCACCAGCATCCATCTCTCCTATGCCTTCTTCCAGACCCTCCCTGGCCCGGGGAACACTCTTCATCTTTTCCACCAAGGGTCTGGGTGGCTACAAAGGCTAGATTTCAGGTGTCTCACAGGTAGCCTCTGCCCTGGATCTGAAGAGAAGGGCCTCAAAGGGAGCAGTCCCTGCTCAAAACAGGACAGGGGACATCACCGGGGGAACCACTTGGGATTGATGAGTGGGTAATGTGTTCTGCCAGCCCTGTCACCCAGGGGCTGGAGGACCCCCATCCAGCCCTCTCTCACCTGCAGCCTCTGCCTTTTGTCCTAGTTTAAGTGCTGCGGCAGCAACAGCTCAGCTGACTGGCAACACAGTGCATACATCCTGTCTAATGAGGCCCAGGGCCGCCAGGTGCCTGACAGCTGCTGCAAGACAGTGGTGACACGCTGTGGCCAACGGACCCACCCTTCCAACATCTACAAGGTGGAGGTGAGCACCCAAACTCAAGCCGGGTCACCGGGCGGCAGGGCACCCAGCACTTGGGCAGATGAGGTGGGAGCAAAACACTCTGGCCAGGATGAGCACAGTGCCTGGGGCCTGCAAAGGTCTCCACCAAGCCCTGGGGTCAAGCAGCTCCTAGTGGGAGATGCTAGGACACAAGATACAACTCCCTGTGAGGAGTTCAAGGTTGGGACTCAGGCTTTCCCTCGGCCTCAGCCCATCCCTCCCAGCTCCCAGCGGCTACTACAGGTGCAGGATTGATGTAACCTGCTGTGGTTTACCTTGCAGGGAGGCTGCATTACCAAGCTGGAGCAGTTCCTGGCTGACCACCTGCTCCTCATGGGGGCAGTGGGCATCGGGGTGGCCTGCCTGCAGGTGAGCTGGGGTGGGGAGTTGTCTGAAGGAGCTCCTACCCCTACTCCAGTTGGTTTCACTCAAATAACCGGCCCTTTCCCTGCTCCTGCCTTACCGCCCCTTCCTTTCCCCTCCCCTTTGCAGCTGAGGGTGGATCACATGGTCAGTCTTCCCCAGAGGCCATGAAAATGCCTGGGGCCTGTGGGATACGTTGAACTTGTAAAGAGCAGGGACCCGGGAGGAGAATGAGTGTGGGCTCAGGTATGTGCATGTACCTACATGCAGGCCTGCTGTGGTGTGTGTGTGTGCATGTTGCGTCTGCATGTCTCTGGGCTGTTCACATGTATATGTGTGTGTGCATGCACATGCATACCCGGTATGTGTGCTCCTGTGTCCACCAGCTCTCGGCTGTGCCCACTGCTGCTCTCCTACACAGCCCTCAGAGCTCAGCAGCCCCCAAAAAAGTCAGTTCCTGGTTCGTCCTCCAGGAAGAAGCCCTTAGTGACTCAGGCGGGTACAGCATTTGAACGAGTGAGCGAGTCAGGGCCCCTACAGTCCACGTGCCCAGCTAGCCCATGCTCCTACTTCAGCCCAGCGGGAGCTCCAGGTGGGCTGTCATTCTTGAGGGAGCTGAGCATTCCTGAGGGGTTTGAAAGTGAGTCATGCTAGCCAGCCCTCTCCACTCCCAGCACTGTAAGCACAGTCTAGGGATGGTAAGATGGACTAGGAAGAAAGGCGTCAGAAAATTGGCCCCATGGATCTTACAGTCTGGGAAGGTCAGATGGACTCGGACTGATGTGCATCCGATGATGCGAGTGGCGCAGGAGTAGGCCGTGTTCTGATCACTTATGGATGGTGTTGCCATGTGTCAGGGGCCGCCTCCATGGCAACTGACACCAGCAGCAGTGAAGAACAATGGCGTTGGCATCAGAAGACCTAGGTTCATTCCTGGCTTGGCTCCTGTGTGACCTAGAACAGTTACTTTCCTGCCCCTCAACTTCCTCACCTGAAAAAAAAACGAAAATACTTGCCTAATTCATTAATTGTTTAAAGAAGAATGACCCACTTATGGTGCCTGGTTCCCCTAATCCTACAGAACAGAAGCTGTCTTTATCCAGGGATCTGTAGACTTGTTTTCAGATACTTTCTCTCAGTGGATTCTCACAACCACCTGAGACCCAGGCCAGGCAAATAGTCACATCGCCCCCATTTTACAGATCATGCTGTCTACCCACATTGGTCTGTGGTGTAGCCTAAAATGCTGGGAGGAGCACTCTCAGTCTCTGGAGGGATTCCCATCTTGCATCTGCCACCTGTGAACTGTGTGGCCCGGGGCACGTTAGTTCCTCTCTGAGCCTCAGTTACTCATTTGTAAAATGGGACTAAGTACTCCAGTTTTAGGGCTCCTAGTGAGGGTTAAAGAGAGAGATTTAAAGCACTTGGCTGATCACCAAGTAAATAGCAAGTGTTCAATAAATGGCGGTGTGGTTAGGTACCATAAAGTTGGTTCCAACGCACAGCATCCCATGTGACAGAGTAAAACTGCCACGTAGAGCATCTTATGGTAAATCTTTACAGAAGCAGATTGCCCCATCTTTCTCCTATGGAATGGCTAGTAGTTTTGAACCTCCAACCTTTTGATTAGAAATCACTCAACCACTATGCCACCAGGGCTTGGGCTTCTTAAATGGTAGCATCGTTATTTTTGTCATTTCTACTTGGGCATATAGTTGTTGTTGTTAGATACCATCAAGTTGGTACCAACACATAGCAACCTTATGCACAGCAGAATGAAACACTGCCCAATCCTGGGTCAACCTCACTACTGTTGCCTTGCTTGAGTCCATCGATGCTGCCACTTGGCCAATCCATCTCATTGGGGGTCTTCCTCTTTTTCTCTGACCCTCCACCTTACCAAACATGATATCTTTCT